TCCTGATATGGGACTCCTCAGCAGTGCGCATCCACGATCCCGCACCACACGGGGCTCGAACCCAGGACCTACTGGCTTCGCGCGCGAGCACTTAACCACTAGACCACTGAGCCGGCATCCAACGGTGTTAATGTCTAACTTCAACCAATCCACGAAGTTGCGCCACCGTACACCATTGTCTTCAGTGAGTTGTTATCTCACAACAGACCGGTTGAACTCCACTGGTAACGGCTTCTCACTAGAATTTCAGGAGTTTTTTCCTGAAGTCAGTCACTAGTGAGCAGTTGATTATTATTATCAGAATGGGTTTTGTGGAGAATTTTAGAAATTTTCACAGGTTGAAATCATGAGTCAGTTGAAGCTAGACCACCATTGAAAACCTGGAAGCACTGGACGGCCGTTTCGTCCTGATATGGGACTCCTCAGCAGTGCGCATCCACGATCCCGCACCACACGGGGCTCGAACCCAGGACCTACTGGCTTCGCGCGCGAGCACTTAACCACTAGACCACTGAGCCGGCATCCCATATCAGGACGAAACGGCCGTCCAGTGCTTCCAGGTTTTCAATGGTGGTCTAGCTTCAACTGACTCATGATTTCAACCTGTGAAAATTTCTAAAATTCTCCACAAAACCCATTCTGATAACTTCTATATTTCTACCATTTAAATATTGTTAAAAGCTATCGCATTTCAATGTGCCACTTTGATCTTCTATATATGGGTTTATTTTTATTGTCTCCCTATGTTTTAAGCTTCTAGTAACTTCGTTCATTCAGAATTATATCTATTTTAGGCACATAGCTTTTATTTGGTCTTCGCCTATCTCTTATATTTATACTCGACAGATGTATGCTGTTTTCTAATTAGCACTACCATAAATAATTTTATTTTCATACACTTTTTGTAATCTCTCCTCTTGGTTTCTTGCTACGGCGGCTTACCGTTACACATATCCCATATTCTGGCTAAACAACTTGTTATTTGCATAAACATTCCGGTTTCAAATCACGTTGACCTATTTTATGGTTTTATTCACTGCTTTTCTTATTAGCCATGGTTTAACTTGTCTTCTTCAATATGTTCTATTCGTTTCAAATTAATATACCTTTTAAGCAGAGTTAAACAGCAAGTAGCAGTAGGATTCTGTTGACGAGTCACAGACAAGACAAAATGAATACCCTGGATTCCACTATTTGACACTATCCTACTATGTTCAAACGTTCTTGTGACTGATCGTAATATCGGGGTAATACACTCAGTATGCATATCATACAAAATAGACTGATCAATATCAATCATATACATTAACAACGAGAGGATTCAAACACTTACAACTGAATTATCTATACCATGAACTATGGTCGTAACAAGTAGATTACTTAGCCCAAATCGATATATAAAATAAAATGATCACAATTCATATCAATATCCTTTTTGTAGAAACCACAGAACACGAAAATGAAATCACTGTAGAACAGTTTTATCCTCACTCGGTAATGTATTATGGTTATCATAAATCCACTTTTCTATTCACTCTTACTTTCACCGTCTGTTAATGAATAATTTTGCCTAGACTTATTCACTTGTTTTGTGAATGCATAAGTATTTGTTACATAATTAGTCAAAATGATAGAAAGATGATTTGAAAAATGAATAAAGTTGGTCTGAACGAATATGTGTATTGGCAAAGTTCATCTCACTCATTTGTAAAGATTTGTAGAAAATATCTGGTAGAATTTCACCTTTGTTTAATGGTTATTAACGTGTGTTTTAATGAATATCATATTATTGAATATTGTTGAGTAATTTTCACCCGTCTAAATCCCTTTATATAAATAATATTTTTCGAACTAACGTTATCACTGGTTTAAATGTCTATGCTTGAGAGAAGTAATAAACACCACTAGACTAGTCACTTGTTGACCAGTTTGCCACTTTAGTTTCTTTGAGATGTCTTGTTTTCTCCAGTCTTATATTGTTTACGTTACCATTGTCTGTTCTTAGTTATAGCGAAAAATCTATCATTCTATGGACGTTTCCACCTACGTGAACAAAACTTACTTTCATAACCCTGATACTGTATACGCCAACAATCGATCAGACACGCAAAATTCATCCTTTGCCAATCAACTAATTATGAAATAAATCAGCTAAGTTCCACATGTTTTATGTGTTCTTTGCGTCATTCAGGCTCCAAAAACCCGCATAATTATACAACTGATAAATAACAACAAATATATAGCTAGGACATTCGTAGTACCAGATTGAGTAAAAGGTTTATGGCTAATTAACCATGATTTACAAATTGCAAGAGATGTCGCGAAAGTTAATCAGTCAAACCAGAGTTTATAATTAATATACTATTAAAATGACTCTAACCGATCGCTTGAGAAATATCTTCTTAAATCTTATAATTTCAATCCCATTCCTCTCTCCATTTGTCGTACTGTAATCAATGTAAGCCTGACGTAATTTCCCGTTTTTTTTTCAATTGTTTGACATTTACACAGATTAGATAAGATATTAAATGATGTTATTTAGGTCATAAAATTCAGTTTTTTAAATTATTTGGGAAGAAATACGATTAGTACCATCAAATAGTATTATTTACATACCGATTTTCATTGTATTGATTATTTGTTCATTAAGCATCACTCTAGATCAACTATTAGTTTATTCAAAGGTATTTTACAATGATCAGATCGAAACATGATACTGAGGCATCTAATAGTTTTGCATTTTATCTTAGTCGTAAAGCAGACTACAATCTCACAAGTCTGTTTAAGAAATTGGTTAAGTTAGATGGTGGTTGGAGGTAGTCGACAGGAAACCCTGGACCCGGGTTTCGTGCTACTTGGCACTCGTCAGCAAGGTGTACCTGTGATTTTGAGGGAACAGGTGCTCCCTGGCGGATTCGACCTCATGTCACCCAGCTTCACAGTCATAGACGTTACCACTGAGCTATCCGAGTCGCGACCGACCTCCTGTAGGACTGAGATGTAATCACAATTGATTGATAACCGAGTGGCGATCAATGTCATGCGTGTCTAGTCCTTATTAGTGCAGGTCGAATGCTATCGATCACCATCTAATCTAAATACATAGTGCCCGCAGTGTCGAGTCACCTAGACTGGTGGCCACATTGCAACATGATCGATAGCATTTGATCTGCACTAATAAGGACTTGACACGAATGACATTGATCGCCACTCAGTGATCAGTCAATTGTGAAATTGGTGAAGCACTTTACATGAACTAACTTTCAAGTCCTAGTAATGACTCTGAAGAGTTTATTGTTCATATTTACTTCTATTAATAAACTTATTTGTTATTTAATCATCTAAACATACTATTTTTGCTACTTTTACAAATTATATATTCCATGCTTTCTAAAACATATTGTTTTTCTCCCATTTATTACCATTTTTTCTCTGAACAGTCAATAACCCGTGATGAATTCGGTCAATATATTATAAGTTTACTTTTTAAACTGTCTTCTACTGAATTATTAATTTGGTAAAAATCGATAAAACTTACAAAATATGCAATAAAAACAAAACAGTACTGAAATTGTCCAGAATAAATTCAAAACCAAAATGAATATTGAACATTTAACTGACTTCTACCATCAGATATTGTGGTGTATAGTATCGATATCAATAGATATAGGTAGTATGTATCATCAATCGAAGGTGAAATACCTGGTGGTAGAAGATTAAGAAGATTGAAGGAAAGAGAACGAGAACGGAGAATGATTGGTGTGGAAACAAAAGATCGATGAATTCTGAGACGATTGATTGACTTTTTGCAAATGAAGTATTTACTGTATGGATCTCAGATTTTACTAAAACGTTCTGTAATTCTATATTTGAATATATTCGATTGTCCCTACTTGTGTTCTTGTTTACTACAATACAATCTTGTTTCATTTAAGTAATACTAATACAGCGAAATTCAGTATTCTAAAAATTAAATCTATTTACTTTTGTTGTAAACTTATAAATATTGTTGAAACAAAGGATACTCAAACAACACGATCAATTTTACAATTAGGTTCATGTACTTGACGTCATAAGCTGTAGAGAAACCTACGAAGGATAGAATTACTTAGTCTTAATGAAATAATCTCTCATTAATTCTATAAATATATTTAAAAAAACAAATTTCACTCACTAGTACACACATGATGAATCAAATAGACAGATACTACTAAGAAATATAGTTTTAAGTAATCACAAAATATTTTTTATGTTGCAACGTCCTATAATTTGAACAGTTTATTCATTGATTTCTTAAATAATATCATTAGCATAAACTTTGAAAAGAAGTTAGGCTTTAGAATTTTGTTTTTGCAAGTGATAATTATTTTTTTTTAAATAAGTTCTATTAACTGACAGTTTGTAGAAATGTGTGCTTATGAGGTTGTCTTAAAAAGACAAGACATCAAACCATTCGAATCAGAAGATGAAGTACTTTGGAAACCATCAGTATGAGGTTGTGGTGATTGTTACGTTTCTGATTGAGATAATGGATCGATCTATGTTATACCACCACTGAAAACTTGGGAGTACTGGATAGCCGTCTCGCCCTAGTATGGAACTCCTCAGTGGTGCGCACTCACGATTTCACAGGTGGAGTCTGAGCTCGGGACCTTCTGTCTCGCGTGCGAACGCTTAACCACTTGACCCCTGATCTGGCATGTCGCGACCATCTTCCATTGTCTGGTGTAGATATCCATCTCTATCCAACACGGATTAAACTTCATTGGTCACGGCTTCTCATTAGAACTTTGAGAATTCTCTAACGAAGCTAGTCACTAGTGAGCATATGGCAATTATCACTAATAAGTACCATGGTAGTCTAACATCGATCAATTCATGGTCTCAATTAAAAACTTTGAAAATTGTCATCCTGAACGACAAGTACTATTAATCATTCCAACAATCAAATCATTATTTAATAAATGTGTTGTTTTTTCTGAAAATAAGAAGAATTCAAGTGCAAATTAATTAATCATTTTTTTTTACATTTTTGAATTCATTTTATTAATATAGAAACAAATAGCAAATATTATTATTGTTATCATTTGTAGAGGTGGATAATTTGTATGACTCTTATTACAGTAATCTCTTGTACAGCATTGATATGAATATTTACTGAACATATAGAACCAAGAATTTGCTTCACATACATCAACACAATCTCTAACAGTATATGGATAACCGCTAGGTTCAATTTTCTGTTCGGTGAATAAAAAGAGAAAATTATTTTTTTAAGTAAAAATAATTTTATAGAAGTTTTAGTAAATTAACTTCATAGATAATATGAAATTTACTATCTTTTATAAAGAATGATTATTGAAGGGCAGTTGGATACTTTAAACAATTCAATCTAATCATTGTTTTAGACATTGAAGTTTTGACTTTGAAAATCTTCAGGAGAAATTTTGGAATTTGAACCAGTAGTATAGTTGTACGTAAAGATAATTTAATTCTTATGGTTAACTTTATTGTTATAAGATTCTAAAGTAAATATCAAGTACTTCAGTTCATGAGAAAGAAGTTAAATCCATGCATAGTGAACATAAACCAACTATTCAGTTTAATGTATTCCCTTAAATTTTCTCAATTGTATTTATAACATTCAATATTAATGTTAAGGATCTGAGGGGGGGTCAAGTAGAAATATTTGATTTATGATTTATTGACTATTTTATTAATTGCTGTAAATATAATAATCCATGGATGTAGAAACTTAGATTGACTTCTCTATAAGTCAATATTATTTATGGGACAGGGTTTAATGAATTAATAATCTTTAGTATCATCCCTAACTTCAATGATGATGATAATTGTGCTCATACAAAATCTGTCACTACCAAAAACTTTTACATGAAAAACCTTAGTTCATGGTGGAAATTACTCTCAAATTAAACATCGGTTTTCAAGAAACGACCTTAGTAAAATCAATAAAATATTTAAATGTTCTGCTTATTTCCATTACTTATTCAATGAATTATACAGTAAAAAATTGCAATATATTCCTTAATAAACAATTTATATTGTTAAATGAACAAGCAAATAAAACTACTGATATTTTAAGTTAGATTCAAAGAAAACGAAACTTACAGCACACCATCTACAGCCTGTTTTATTTCTAATTAAATTGGATCCGGGATAAAATGGTGTAGGACATGGATTACATGTGAAACAGCTAGCTGACAATGCTGTAATGATGAAGGGAGATTAATTATGATAATGATTATGACTTGTAAAAGAAAAATATTGCTTTCTACATCATAATCAATTAAACTTAACTGTACTCTTTTTCTCTGTAAATAACTACTGTTTAAAAACACATTAAGTCGGTAAAAAACCAAAAGCAGCTACATATTTTCAGTATGATATTTAAACAAAACTTACTGCGTATGAATAAGAAATCAGTCAGGAGAAATCATTTTCCATGGAACTAATGATTTTGAAATTATTAAAAATTCTCATGAAGTAAATTATAACAATAAGATACATATCACTATATAGACAAGTATCTTCAATGTTTTTGATATTACATCAGGGTAAAATTTTGATTAGAATCAGTATTAAAAAGCAAAAATTATAGAAAATTAGGAAAAGACATTGGAAATGAATAGAACAAACATTCCGAAAATCATCAAACTGCATCACCAAACAAACTCTAACTTGGAATCCTGAAGGGATGCAGAAAAGAGGAGAACGAAAGAACACATTACGTCGGGAAATAGGAGATATGAAAAGGATGAATAACAACTGGAAAGAACTGGAAAGGATTGTCTAGGAAAGGGTTGGATGGAGAGCGTTGGTGGGCGGGCGTCTTATGCTCTTCCACGAGGAGTAACAGGCGTAAGTAAATGCATGAGTAAGTAAAAGTTATCAATGATACATCATACAGTTTATTTTTTTTCAAAAGTTTTAATTCTCATTTTCTGAAATGATCAAACTAAATAGAAAAATCATAAATACTTTGAGTTGTTACTCTAGATCATTACAATACTTCATTAAGAAATACTTGTTGAACAATACTTCCTTACTAAAGATCACTATTAAAGGGTGAATAAACTCTGATATCATTAGTTTTTAGGTTGTTTGTTTCAATAAATTCTATTCTTTTAGATGGTTTTCTAAGGATTTATGATAACTTTTGAAATTCAAGTGTAAGACAATAACTTAAAAATATCCTTAAATGTGCATAGTGAAGTGTTATAAAATGCTTAAATTTGAGAAATACAGTATACTAAAGTCTAGCTTATTATCAAGTTTGATCATTGGTAAAGATCGTTGATGAGTCTTGAACTTTTACAAAACAGTTGTTTAATGATTTCTAATTTTCAGTGTTTCTTCAGATAAAGCAAAATTTTAGTGAATGTTAGTATTCATGAATTAAATTTTTGTTCCAGAGTACATTCACAATTAATATGAGTATTTTTAAATGAATTGTACCTATGGTTTGACAGTGAGACAGTATCATATCAGTTCTGGTAAAATGTTCTCACCTACTAAGTAAAAATTTTATATTTGATTGTTTCTGCTTAACTCTAAATGTCCGAGTAACATCATATAATCTAATGACGCTTATGACTCAAAATGATATTAAGATGAAAACTTGAAACAACATTAAAAAAAGGAAATACATTTGATATATTTCACAAATTGAAAACCGAATATTGACAGGAAGTTGTGTAATATTCAGCTAGTGAAAAAGTGGTAAGAAGAAACTATTTGTCCACTTGATAGCAGCTATTAAGAACTGAATAATTATAAGTCGTAATAGTTGCTAATTACTAGTTGTGAAAATAATTAGAAAGAAGTAGAAATAATAAAACAGAAATAAAAACAATAGATTATGGGAGATAAAAAAGCGAGGTTAAGATCATAGAAGAATGAGAGACTGAACATATTATTTTTATACGCAAAGATTAGGCTTAAACTGGTGGATAACAGTAACATCTGCTTTACATAAGTTTTCTATTTGTATTCCAATTGAGCTAACACTTCTGAACCTATGTATAATTCTGAAGGTTTCTGGTGAAGTGGAGTTGCCGGAATTGGCTAGATATTTTAAGATTAGTGAAGATTACTTAATTTGTAATTTGTTTGATGAGGTAAATCTAATTAAACAAACACCATAAACAAGGAAGCAGTGGATAGTTTATTTGTTTCATCATGAGTTTATTTAAGACTACGGGACGTAACATGTATCACTTAATCAAATAACCGAATTTTACTTTGATAAATAACTAAAAGAAAGAAATAGCTTATATAATCCATTGTCTTAAGTTATTTATAACAGTTCATTCGAACATAGTAATCATAAATTTATCCGAAAAAAAAGTCTTATTTCATTACTTACAGTCATCAATTCTCACCATAAATAAAAGCATTGTCATTACGATGCATGTTAAGAACTTCATAATGTTTTTTTCTTAGAAAATTGTTCATCAACACTGTGTATTTGAATATTTATATGAAATTTGTTTGCTAATATATTTTAATGATGTTTTTTTGTGTGATTGTTAATTGATCATTAGCTTGTCTCTACCAACCATATGTACTCGTTATCCTCATTTAATTACTTGAGTCCGTTAATTTAATTTTGATGAGAGTAATTTATTGAAAATAATAAACCAGTTTATCCAGTTGGCTAACATTATAACTTTTGAAAGGGTCAACTAGTTATATTGTTTTGTATTTGTTTACAAACGATATTAGTAAATAGACTTGAACTAATGCATATATGTACATATATATGCTAGTATGAATGAACAAATTAGTGATATGTTTCTACTTCAGTCTTAGTCACTTTTGGATAGACATTGAAAGAAATTGAATTCATTATTAGGAGTAAGCATAATTTATTCTAAATTTTGATTAAACTACTTCTATGCTACTTTTATTCTATGTTAACTTTTAACTTCACTTTGAAATAGAAGTGTATTATTTATGAAATCAGCGTGCATTACAATATAACTATGTGACATAGTCTTTTGTAGTGGCAGGAAATGGTTAAGAATTTATTTATCCATTTGAGCATTGTGTTACGTTTTTGAGATTAATCAGTAAGACGCTACTTCAGTCTCCTCTCCTATACACCTCGGGAAGTAAAATTCTCCAAGGGATTCGAACCAAAGCTATTCAGTGCATCAGTTAACAACATTTATAGTGAAATGTTGTTCTTTTAGCTATCTAACTTAGATTAGTAAACCTGATTGTATAGTTGACGGATAGGATTCAATAAACACTAACAACTATACAACATTAATAACTGCTGAATATAAAATAATAAGTCTGAAAAGGAAACTAAAAATAATAATAAAATATCAAAAATACAAAAGTGATAATAAAAACAAGCGTCGTTACATTTTCAGTACATTTAATCAGCTTTTGAGTTGCATGTTTATCTTGAACGACTATGAAGGGTAGTGAATTCTGGCATTCCATGCAATTCTACATAAATAATCGAGGAAATAGAAAAGAATGTTTACTGTTCATTTAAAGTACATTTTGGCCATTAATAGAATCCGCAACGCTTATTTCGTCTTGTTTAAGACTTACCAGCTAGATATACTTGGTTTCCAGGTTTTATGTTCACATTGAGAATCGAACCAAGTACCTTTCACTTCAAACGACCAACACATCATCCACTGAGCTACTGATTTCAGATTAACCTAAATTCAATCCTGATAATTAATAAAGAGATAACTCAAACATTTACTGTTTTTATCTATCTTAAGTGAGGGTGATTAGTATGAAATTGTAGCTAATAATCGTAACTATTTAAGAATACCATGGAAACAAGTTAAGGATTAGTGATTATGAAAAGGAACAGCATAACATGCTAGGATTAATTTTCAAGTGACACGTGATCAACAAGAGAATGCGTCTTGAACTCGAACCTCCAATTTAATGTAGACTATTTACTTTAAAACATTAAATGTACCTAGTTCTTGATGCTCTCTGAACAGTCTTTCAGATATAACAAAAGCTTAGCATAGTATAAATCAAGCGACTTCCCTCTGTTCATCCTTGCCATGTAGCAACTGTACTGAATGGAAAAATATCTATCGTTTATGAAGACTTAACATCTAAAATCAACTTTGAATGCAGTAAGAACTGTACAGTGTCATTCAATAATTTTGTTATCAAACAACGTAATATGGTATGAATAGCCAAAATAAAATGAAAACCTAGTAGATTTCAGAACTTCAACCAACTGTCTTCAAATTTTTAGCTCATTAGTAGTTCTGAAATAAAAAGAGAACAATGAAAAATTAATATAATCCAAGATGGCATTCATTGATTAACTATGAAATATCTTGGTCTTTATTGAAGATATCTGTTACATTATTACTGATTGAAGATCGAAATAGTTATATATTTTATCATTGCTCTCTTTCGCATCAGGGTATCCGAAAAGTAACAGTCAGTTTTGAAGTTTGCGCTACGGTTTATTGTTATGGGATGAGAAGAAAGGATGGACATTACTGTAAATGCCTATTGAGGATGATTCGTATCTTCAAAGCAATGAAAATGGGACCGGAAGTTGTAAAGTACATTTTCAAGCAAAATGTCTTATTATTAATATTGTGTCAAAATCATGGAAACATGCATAAAGAAAACTTTTTAGTTATTATTAACGTAATGACACAAAGGAAGTTGAAAGAAAACCTGGGTTGCAATAGGATTCGAACCAGTAGACTAATGATCACGAACTTCAACTTCTACCCATGCAACTGAGAAATGCCAATGACACCATGGTCATAACTTCACTCTATTGAAATTCTGCTAAACGTAGCTTCAGTATCCTAGCGAAATCTTTTCTTTGTGTATCTTTCAACTGTCAGGTATTTCAATAAATCATCTTGCTTTGAACTAATTTTAATTGAATAATCAGGTATTTCAACCGTGTTTACTCACCAGCTTTCATTGGATGTTATTAACTTCTTACGACTTTAAATACAGGAAGACTCAAACAAAAACACTAGTTGTCGGTATATTTCCTTCCATTTTTATCCATGGGAGTGACAACTACATTGGAATTCTTGGATTCTATGTATAGTGAATGAAAAATAGTTGTACTGGTTGATTTGGTATGATAAATTTGTGACTAAAGATAAGTGAGACATAATTTGTTCAGAAAGATATTTTAAGATATAATTCGACAATTTACTTACTTACGCCTGTTACCCCTCAAAAAGAAGCGTAGACGGCCTACCAGCATTCTCCACCAAACTCTATTCTGAGCAATCCTTCAGAGTTCTTTCCAGTTGCTATTCATCTTTTTCATATCTGTGTTTCCAATTCTCGACTCAGTGTGCTCTTTGGTCTTCCTCATTTCCATTACCCTCAGGATTTCAAGTTGATGCTTTCTTTGTGTTATAACTTGTGGCCTTTGTGCCCTGTTGATGGATAACGTAACGATACTGCCAATTAGAGAGCAGTGAATTATCTATCGTACCAGGGACGCGTGAAAACCATACGAGCAGTCTAGAGTCCTTACTGGTTCTGCTTTCTGCCTAGCCCAGCTATTTAAGTCCAGAACACCAATCTCAGCCCCCTGCAACATGAATCATTTATTTCAAGCGTAATGGGTTTATATACCAACCACACAGACCACATCGTACCATAAAACAGAAAATAACATTTGTACAAGAATTAGTCGAATGTGGCTGTGGATGAGGGAGGTAGTAATTAATAGACAGGGCATAATTCAAGAACGGTAAATCGTATAGTAATAGTCCATAGGTCAAATCAAAGCTCATAATAAGTGGGACACGGATATGAATAGTTTAATCACATAGCAATTATATGATAAAAATATACGCATAGTATTGGTTTATAATGGATCCCAAAAGTTACCATTCATTATGCTTATCGGGACCTAACACTTTGTAATGTAGTTTGATTTCCGTAATGTATGTCCTATCCACTTACAATGTCTTTTCCTAATTTCCTCTCAAGCTGGAAGCTGGTTTGTCCTATCCCACAATAAACTGTTACTCATGGTATCCAGTCAACTAACATTGAGTATTTTACGTAGACAGTTGTTTATAAATGCTTGTACATTTTTGATAATGGTTGTAGTTGTTCAAGTTTCAGTCGCGAGTGGTATAATTATCTTGACGTTCGTATTGAAGATTTTGACTTCGATGTTGGCTCACAAACAGTTGTTTTGAGTTCCATATGTTCTCTGACTGTATGAATACTACCCTCACTTTATCAATCAATACCATTACATCCGCATCAGATCCTTCTTGTTCATCGATTATACTGACCAGGTATGTGGAAGTTCTCACCTGTTCCAGAGCTTCTCCATCAAATTTCATTGGCTTAATGTTCTCTGTGTTGTATTTGAGGATCTTGCTCTTCCCTTGTGTATGTCGTGGCCTACTGATACAGAGGCTTCTGCTACACTAGTTGTCTTCATCTGCATTTGTTGGTGTGTATGGGACAGAAGAGCCAGGTCATCTGCGAAGTCTAAATTGTCTAGTTGATTCCGGACTGTCCATTGTATTCCCTTTTTCCCCTCAAACATCGACATCTTCATAACCCAATTGACCACCAGAATAAAGAGAAAGAGTGATAGTAACAACCTTGTCTGACTCTGGTCCTCACCTGGAATGCGATTGTCAACTGTCCTCGATTCGACTATTTACCGTTTAAATATACACTGAAAAAGAATTTATTGTAACATTGAATCAATGATGTGAGAATTTCCTACTGCAACAAAATATACCACTAAATAAAGTAATTATTATTGTTATTAAAATTTGTGTTTGCTAATAATAACCATTTTTTTAATGAAAGCACACATAAAACTGTAGCATGTAACTTGTTAGGTTAGTAGTGTATTGATTAAAAAAACTCCATTCTCTATGGTGATCATATATCTTTTCTTCACTAATATTAAAATGTTAATCTTTACTAATCAGAAATATGATTGTTTTTAAGTCAATCAATAATATGGATTAATTAGAAATCTATGTAACTTTTAAAAGGATTCAGAATAATAGACAGTCATAGTGAACAGTCATGCAACCCTTATTCCTCACAAGTATGTAATCCTTTAATTCTAAAAGTTGGTTGGATAGCTTATAAAAATGTTTGAGATTAAAATTTGTATAATTTAGCAATCATACTCTGTTTTACATTTTCCAGTATCCTAATACGGTGGAGTTGTGTTGGGGTGATCCAGAAAACTTCTCGCAAAAGATAAGAAAGGCTCAGGAAATACTAAGAAGCATTTTATCCTATCAGCGTCCATCAGAAGTTTACCCAGGAACATCAAGAAGCATCAAGTGAAAAGTCACATGTAGAGTTTCTGATTGGCTGATTACTATACTGCTACTTTGTTTAGTAGCATCCCGGAATTTTCGGGAAACCCAAGAACATCTAAAATATTATAAAAACCCTATATTTTTTGTACGAAAACGAACCTTTGGAGTAAAGCGCTTCTCGCATGTTTTGCGCCTTTTCTCTCGTGTTCAGGTCGCTGTATAGTTCTAGCTTGAGGGTTACGAGAATAGCTTAG